TACCCTCCTCCTCCCGAAATCCTTTGTCCCCAAATATCGATCTTGATGCTCTCTCCTCACCCTCCCCCAAGCCCCCTCCACCCAAGCGACCAAACATCTCACGCTCTAGCCCTGAAGTTGCTGCCCGTTCTGTTGAGCTCCTCTCCCCTCCTCTTCCAATAGAACTTTATATTCATTAATTTCTAAAAATGAAATCCTTCACGCTAATACTTTTCCCCGTTTCACTTCGACTATTCTACTGCAAACTGATGACAATGAACAACGTGATCTAATTTCACAAAAAAGACTATATTTTGTGAAGTAAAATGCGGATGTAGGATTACGTAAAATACTTCAAGAGATACAAACAATCAATTATACTATCTTATTACTAGATTCAGCTTTAGGTACCATCAAATGTGGTACTCTAAGTAACATGTCATTTTTGAGGTTTACAATTTCGGGTTTCAAAATATATTTCTAAACCATCTTCATTCGCGACGAAGAACCTCGCGCCATTACAAAAGCGATGGTCAATTTCGAATTCGCACAGGAAAAACCATCGCATTGTCCCCTCACAACGGAGATATTTGCTAATAAAGACAGGAATAGAACAGCAACTGTAGTATACAACCAGGGGGTGGACGAACCAGACTCACTGAAGTCACGCGAGCAATTTCGAATAATCCTTGTTTACACCAGGATCGAACTGACTGAAAAGGAAGCACAACAGTTAGCTGCGTACACACGGAACAACAGTCGTCGTATAAATCCACAAGGAAGAACACAAGGTCGAGAGACGACATGTATTGTCAACAGTCACGTGGGTCTAAACGGAAACGATACAGTGTTGCCAATCTTGGCGTGCGTGAGACAAGTCTCTTGTACAAACAGTGAGACAAAAACACTCGGTCTTTTGAGTCAATAACAATCAATATCATGCCTCCCCATTCGTCTCTCGATTGGTGTTTCTGTTTCCATGTCGAGCATAATGATCATACTCTGAAAGGCAAAAGAAAGAAAGAAAGACAAAGTTAGGCGGTGGATTTGAATATGGGTTGTACACCTCACATGCCCCCTTCGCCGCAAGGCGCTGTTTTCAGCGCCGGCGATGACACAGTTGGCTGGCTTCAGGCGGTTGATGTATACAACAGTGGACCATCGGGTCGACTGGCGGACGACAGGCGATATGTGACGTCGGAACCCGCTTCGTCTATGGTGTACGGACCTTTCCATGGGCGATGGAACTTCTCAGGCACCCCGGGGGTTGGCACGGGGTCTGACAGCCAAACGCTATCCCCGGGATCAAACATGCGCATGGATTAGAGCCGGTCGAAATAGTCCTTTTGTCTACGCTGAGCAGATTGCA